ACGAAATAGAATGTTCGCTCTTAGCTTAAAAGGGTAAATACAGTTTCTTCAAGATCTTATTTATATCAAAGCAATTGGTTTGAAAGACACATAAAAAGGAAAAAGCATACGTTCTTTCCATCAAATAATCAAAAAGTACTCAGAACTTTTCAAAAAAATATGTACTATCATTCAAAACCTGTTAGAGCAATAAACTTTAACTTGGCAAATTTATAGATGTGGAAAGAAAGGCAAGTCAGATTTGAAGAAAATGACTCAAGATCCTTAAAGTTTTGATGGCTTAAGATATTTCTGCTGCAATATGGCTTGGGCATCAGTTCTCTCAGTGTTCTTTCTAGAGATTTCCAGCCCCAGACCTATCGTATATAGTTCTACACTTTTATTTTAGTGGGATTAAATTTAGCAGTTAAAGTTGATTTTCAAAGTTTTCTCTTGTTCTTATCAAATATTCATCAACACACAAGTTACTCATCTATTTAAAAACATTATTTGGACTTCATAGTGAAGAGTTCAAAACCAATTCTAAATATAGCTTTAATTCCAAAAACCTTATAAACATGAGTTAAAATTCTGATTACTTTTCTTTTTCTAAAAGGAAAATTCAGAGAGAGAAAGGTAAATAGAGTGGCCTGAGTCACATGTGCAGAAGACTGGTAAAACCAGAACTAATCTCCAGCCAAACCACTAATGCCTGCTATTGCTTTTGACTCCTCAGCAGCAAACTTGGGCTTAGAGAGTCCTCTGCTTCTTGATTCAAGTAGTGAGCTTGATCCCTATGGAGTCATGAGTCCCTTGGAAAGATCCCTCATTTTTCCCCTTTTCCCTCCTCTTCTCCCAGCATTATAGTCACAAAGTCATGAGTCAAGGATTAATTTTAACTGTTTTGGTGTTGGTGAAGGCTCACTAAACCTAAAATTGAGCCTTTTCTTCTCAAGTAAAGTATGGGGTTTACGAACTAGTTGCCATTGGCTTTCATCTTTTTATTATCCAATTTTGACATTTGTCCTTGGGTGGATTTTTACTGAGGAGGTGTTGAATGTTTCCCAGGACAACTCATGGGCTCTTTGAAGTCCTACTTTGGGGTTCTGTATATGTTTGCTTCAAGGGTGCAGAATTAATCATGTGGTTAATTTGCTTGCTCGTTAAAGTGAACTTGTATGTGGATCAAGGCTTTTCTTATTGTCTCCAGTTATTCTTTGTTCCCCAAAATGGTCAAGACACTCAGCTACTATCTTAAGAGAATGAATATCATTAAAGTCCATGATGAACTTTCGGTGAAAAGGAAAAACTGCTCAGCCACACACTTATCTGAATTCTGTTTTCCTAGTCTTTTTTGCCATGTAGCTCATTCACTCGTCTCAATACTAGTTCAAGTAAATTCAGCTTAATCTTAGTTTTCCAAAGGGGCTAAAAATTAACCCTGATTTCTCTTCTGGCTCTTTTCAAATATCTACTTGTAGTTGTGGAATGAGCTGAGAATAGGCAAGGCCCTGGGAGGCAGGCCTGTGTCTCACTCCCCTGAGCCCAGCATTCAAATCACTGCACAAGACACAGATGATTCAAGAATAATAGGCCTGGGTCCCAGCCTTAATTATTTCCATTTCCATCATGGTTTATACAATAATTGTAAATCACCAAATTGATTAGGGGCTGTATAAACCCAAATAAATTGACAGGCAGTATAGAATAGTGCTTGACTAACTATATGTTTTACATTTCCATAAAACTGGATTAAATTTCCAAATCTGTTATTCACTATCTGTGTGACCCTGAGAAAGTCACTTGACTTTTCTGAACCTCAGAATCCTCCCCTGTAAAACAGAGATTGTGATAACTACCTATATAAAGGTCAGTGTGAGAATGAAGTGAAACAATGTATAAAATAATTTAGCTTAGTGCCTGCAACTACTGTTTGTTGAATAATAGATTATAATACAGAGTGTTTTGATATGTGTTGGTATATTCTTTTTTGGTGTGTTTCTATTCAGTATTTTTTTAATAATTATTTTTTAAATTTATTATGGTGACATCGATTAAAATCCAATAAGTTTCAAGTGTACAATTCAACAGTAAGTCATATATATATATGGCATTGTGTGTTCACCGCCCGTAGTTAGATTTCTTTCTGTCACCACATATTTGACACCTATGTTGGAATATTAGATTATCTTTTCAGTTATCTGTTATTTCTATACAAAGCATTGTGCTGAGTATGGGGAAACCCACCCCTAAATTTGAATTCCCTTTCCTCAAAAACTTTATAACCCAATTACTAATTGAGAGGCAACACAGAAACCCATAAAAAAGGTAAAAGAACAATTGTACACAACTTTTCCTGGAGCACTGTCCATTCTCACTCAAGTCCAGACCTGAGGCTGACACTGACTTAGGTACTGCCTCATGGGTCACACCTGAACAACCAGGGCAGTCAATGAAATAGCATTCAACACTCATGCAACAAATATTTTAATATCTATTATGTGCCATACCTGTGCTAGGTGATAGATATGTCAGAATGAAAATTACAAACATATTTTGATGCATTAAAAACATCTACCTTAGGGGAGGTTTACTTCATAATCTAATAAAACAGACCTCTAACTTGAAGGCTATTACAACCTTTGAAGTATTATTTACATTGTCCTAGACACAAATTACTTCCAAAATTAAACTGTCATTTTATAGCAGAATTAAAATTAATATGCTCCTCATCTCCACACTTGGGCATAAATTCCCTTATTTGAAATGCTCTGATATTTGGAGGTCTATAATCTGAACTGTCTTCTCTGCCCAGTCCTGTGTCTCTTGTGTTAAAAGGCAAAAAATATGAACCATCAATAACAACCAGAATAGAAGAAGAATGTTTACTCAGAGCTTAATGTCACTTTCTTTCCACATTCTTCAGCTGTGTTAGGAAATCAGAGAAAAAGAGAAAAACTGCCTCATATTCGCAATGGAAAACACTGTAAAAAGAGAAAAATGTCTGCCCTTATAGTCTCAGGATATACTTTTTTTTTTTTAAGGGATGAGTGCTATCCTTCATATGGTCTTTTTAGAACCTAGGCCATCCGGCGCATGCAGTAGACTACTAGATCAGGCACTAAGTTTTGACTGTGGTTAGCAATGACATACAAAGAACAAAATTGCTCCCTTGAAGTTAAAATCAAAGAAGCCTCACGAGCAGCCTTATGTACATCCGAACGAGAGAGTACACACATGTGTGTGATGGAGGCAATCCAGAGAGAGGAGCATGCTTCCCAGGGGTTGTTTTAAACAATGACAGACTGCAAAATCCGAATGTGATGTGTTGGAACATGAAACACACACACACACACACACACACACACACACACACACACACACGAGCTTGTGAAAAACATTGCCAAAGTCCCTCAAAGCCAAAGTTTAGAAGAACACGTGCTCTGGAGGGAGCAACAGTAATTTTAAAATCACTCCGTTTATGATTCCATTCCTCATCTATTTGATCACCTTGGCACACTATTTAGGAAATAACAGAAAAAGAAATATGATGTTGGAGAGAGAGAGTTCAATTATAAAACAAAGCCACCCACCTTCTTTCGGGGTCAGGAAGTACAATGGCCTTCTTTTGCAGCAAGAATAAACTTAACACCCATGTGTTAAATGATCACATGTATATTTAAAAGAAAAGGAAATGGTCCTCTAAAAAAAATGCTGCAATAGCTCAGTCCTCAGAGCAAGTCTTACAAAAATAAAAATAAAAGCAGCATACTGTGGTTCTTTGACACAAGGCAGAAAGCAGAGTCCTCAAGTCACTATTCCCTTGTTTTGCAAAACAAAACAAAAAGCAAGAGCAAAAGGTGCTGTTTGGCAGGACAAGAAGGGCCTTAAAACACCTCGTTCCCTCCTGGGTCCCTCCCAGTTCCTTCTCTCGCTGTGGGCTGACGAAGCCGTACTGATCAACACCAATGTCACCATCCGCTGCTTAAATGCTCAAAAGTACACTTAGAAATGAGAAGAAAGTGACTGACACGGATATGCTGAGCCAGCCCCACTGCCACTAGAACAGTCTTAAATGCCCACACAAGGAGAATAAAAAGAAAAGCACATTTTGCAATAGAATAAATTCTTTTTTTTTTTTTTTATTGATACCGCGGAAAGTCACATGACCCCGCATGTAGCCTTTTAGGAAAGCAACCGAAATGGTAAAGAAAGAAGCGGGGGCTGCCTCCTTCCTCCCGCCGCCTCCTAGCCGGTACTGCCGCGTGTCCGCATTCTTCTGGGCGCATCTGTGGAGCTATTAAGTGGGATAATCCCTCTGGCCTTTGATACATTTCTGGACATGATTATTTCATTACTCGCAGTATATCAGTAGGATCATAATAAAAAGGACTTCTGACAACCTGCCAAGAGTTTTGTGGCCTTGTAAACACAAAAGTGCTCTAATAAAATTTTATTAAGTGTTAAAAAGTCATAAAAAGTGAAATAACATAAACTACAAAATTTACTGTCCTCAGCAAATGCTGAAAATATCGTCCACAGTAAAAATTAAATTAGCATGTAATAGACAGAGAAGCAGTGTGGAGTGGATTTAAAAGAGGATCCAGGGAAAATGACACTGTAACCCAACCTGGGTCACGGGGATTTAATTCGGATTTTTCTCCCTAAATGGGAATAAATGTGCTGATTACAGACAAGAGCTCCGGGGTTACTGGAGTCTCACACATTGTCAATACTTTGGAAGAAATAATATATTGCAGATTGGAATGAGCTCCGGGAGAGGAGCGAGCGTGGCAGGGGAGCCGGCGAGCGGAAGGGCGCCCACTAGGGCGCGCTGCGAGACCGGGAATCCCCGCCCCGGCGCCCTCGCGGCCGCGTCGCCGGGAGCCGCGCGCTTACGCTTTGCCTTCGCCCCCCTCGAAATCATATTTACAGTTCTTTCTTTCCTTCCCCCCCCCCCCCGCCTCTGCCCCCGCCCCGTGACATTTTCTCCAAGTCGGAATTTTTTTTAGTCGAGCTTTGCCGCAGGCGGAACCTCGGGCTCCGCTTTCGGAGACTCGGGGTCCGGGAGTGGGACCCTGGCGCTGCCCCCGGCGGTGTTAACCCCGGGGGACAGGGTGGGGTCCCCAGCCCAGCACCCGGGGCCCCGCAGCTCGGCAGAGGGAGGCCCAGGAGCGCGCCAGGCCTACGTCCCGCTCCGCCAGGGGCGCGGTGCGCTCAGGGCGAGCGGGTCGCCGGCCTCGCCACGAGTTCAAGTGCATCCGCGGCGTCGGCGCCCGCGGCTGTGGGGGCGAGTTCCCCACTGCTCCGCCCCTTCGCGGGGGTTCGGGGTGCCCTGCTGCTCCCAGGACCCCTCTCTCCAGCCTTCCTGGCCACGCTGGGCCGCCAGCCTGGGGTGCGAACCGGAGCGTACGAGCGGGGCGGGCAGCAGACTCGCGCCCTTGCTCCTCTCCGGCCCGGGCCCATGGTCTGGGGCCCCCCAAAGACCAACGTGAAGGCTCCGCCTGGAAAAGAAGTCCGACTTCCTCTCCACGCTGCTCGGAGTGGAATCTGGAATCGGCAGGAAATTGCTCAAACACGCAGCCTGAGCCTTTGCAGTCAGCCCTCGCTTTACTGAAGAGAAGCAGCTCCCACCAAAGTCTTGCCTCCCCCTCCCCTCGAAAGTCTCGCTCAGGTTTGTAAAGAGGGGTGCAGAGATCTGAAAAGCATTTTCTTCCAGGGAGAAGATGTCGGTGACGGTGCCCAATGAAAGATGGGTGCTTTTTAGCTAGAGGTAATTAGCGGGTCACGTCTTGTTTTGCAGTTCCAGGGTGATGCAAATGCTGCAGTCTGCGGAGTCGGTGTTAGAAGCGAATTAATTAGAAGTTAGTGAAGTAGGAAATAAATGGGCAGTGACACATTTCAGGGTTTCATTTTGCCTCAGGGATATCCAAAGTTTTAAGCTGTATTTAAGAATTAGCTACGTTTTGCCAGAAAGTAAATATTTTTAAGTAAACCTGTTGCTAAAGCCCAGAAGAGGTAAGTTAAAGTTACTATATAAGATCCTCCAGGTTACTAGGATGAGAATGCCTTATATTTTTCATTTTCCAGATGGCAAGAGCATGGTCAAGGCAAATGGAGCAGCCAAAGATGTTTTGATAAGCAATATTCACTTGGAACTTTTAGTCTAAAATAAATATAGTTATAGTAGAAATTAATAGCCCCATGATTTAGATCTTTTGTTACAAGTTATAAGAAAAAAGTGTTCTTTAACAATTTGTGTGTGTGTGTGTGTGTGTGCGCGCGCGCGCGCGCGCATAGGTACACACACTGTTTAATTGTCACCTGCAAAGTATTGAATTTGAAATAGTCTGGCCTGGAGCATCAGAGTTAAAAAAGTAAACAAATCAGTTTAAATGTTGTTTGACATTTTCTATCAAAGGCTTTGATATCTAATCAGAACAGAATTAAAAAGAATGGATATAAATAATAATTTTTTTTTTTTTACTCAATGTGCCTGCCTAGGGAGAGAGTACAGATGACATGTCCATGACTCGGTTTTTGAGCCATTCCCTGAAGATAGCAATTATGAATGTGGTGAGTCAGTGTTGCCTTTTAAAATGAAGAGCACGTATATTTACAGAAATATAGAAACAAGTATTTTGCTACATAGGATTTTCTCTCAAGTTTTGTATTTAAAATTTTATGATAAACATTTCTTTATTGACCTATGAAGTTCAAAAGGAAATTTTATACTTGTATTATTTTGTTCTGTGTTCACATTTCAGATTGAAGTTCATCGGTCCTTCAGAAAAAATATTTTCATAACTATTAAAAACATCATGACTAGTATTTTTAACTTTCTTCAGGAAGATATATGATTGCTGTAAATAATTTCTAAGAAAATTTTAAACAAGATTAGTACAGCCTTGCAGTCTATATAAAATTGTAGTATCAAAGGTTTTTGTGAAGAAATTGAGAATTGATATATTTTAAATGAATATAAAAACATGTTTTAAAAGGGATCTCTTACACTATTCTCTCCCTTAAAAAAAGCAAAGACTATTTTTCATTCTATAAAAATGCTAGAAAATTATTACCATAATGACAGTCTGTCAAAGTAGTGGATACTTTTGAACGTATTATAAAGAAAAAAAATTTTCTCAGCCCTTTATATGTTTGAGGTACTTGAAAAGGCAAGAAGTTTGTAAAAACATTTTACTACTGAAATCTACAAGATCATTAAAATGTGCAAGTAATTTATTCTAAGTGACTGAAAAGTATTTTTTTCCAACTGTTTTTCACACTTTGACATTTTTATGTGTACTTTAATTAGTACCTTTCTTTTAAATGTTCCAGATATTTTGTTATATTAGCTATATGAGAAAAACATTATTGGAATTTGTTGTTTTACTTTCTGCATAAACAGTTGAGATTTTGTTTTAGTCTCTTATATTTACATGGGATAAATTTGAACATGTTGGAATAAAAAACAATCTAAGTTTATTTTTCTTTCCAAAACTTGACGTTGATCCTGATCTTATAGTTTTTATGCATACAAACTGCTATTGAAATCAATTTGGACATACCAGTTTAAGGAAAAATTTAAGACAGTGCAAGTTTTATATGGAAGAATATATATTAAGGTATAAAGTAGCTAATAGCCAAAATTAAATCTGGAGGTGAACTTGTAGCACTCATTTGGATGACAATTTTAAAGTTAGTTTTGCACTAAGGAAGGATTTCCTTGAGCTCTGTGTTTATGAATATCTACATTATTCTACCTTGCAACTTAAAAACTCAATAACCAGATATCAAATTTATGTATTTTTAAGGTGACTAAGAATAAGGATATGAAAAGCAGATTGGCTTCATGAAAGAAAGAAAGCATTTAAAATTGTATTTTAAAATATAAACTTAATTTCAGTTTCTGACAGAAATCTTGTGACCAGCTCATCAGTTTTCCAGATCAGTTTTAAAACAGTATGTAAAAACTACCTTTTCCACATTAGAAGTTCATATTTAAGTTTCCTTAACTGCAAAATCACTCTAAAACAGAATGTTTTATGTTAAGGCCCATTTCATGTGTTGGTCTCATTGATTACCTATGAATGTATAAAAATCTTGTTTAAAGACCAGTAAAAGTGAGGAAATTCCAAGTCAAGCTGGCTAATTCCATTCATAATTCATCCCGAGTGCCTGATTTAGGAAACTTGCAAACAGTTTATAGCTGTTCATACAAAACAAGTTGACTTACTTTGTAGAGCAGGGCAGCAGAGTTAACTTTGACCTTGCTCAGAGAGGCTTCAGTTGGTAAATCTATAGACTGTAGGTTAAGGTTTTTGGTTCCCCAGGAATTTTCCAATTTCAACCCTTTTTTTTTTTATTTTTGCTTTTTGAAAATGTAAACAGAAGGACAACTTTTGTGTTCTGGAATAAGGTTGGCTTTCACTCGCTCATTTCCTTCCCCTTACACATTTGTTCAGTAATTCTTCTGAATGCTGGGGATCAACAGAGGCCCTGCAGTGAGAAAATGGCATAAACCATATCTCTGTCCTCTTCAGCTGTCCCTCTTTCCAGCCCTGCTTTTATTTTGAGCAAACTGGACAAGAATTTAGTACTTATACTCCCATGGTTCAAACTGCAGCATCTACAGCCCAATGTACTTTTGAGGACTGGCAAGAAATCCATCTAGACTTTGCATTCTAAGCTGGGGAAAAAAAAAACTATTGGGGAATCCTTTGCCTTGATTGGGAAGTATCCAGGCTGTCTTTCAAACCCGAAGCAATTCATCTGCTCATTTTCCAAGGCTGTGCTGTAGGCAGATGCCTTCTCTTAGTTTTGATGTTCAGGAAGACATTAGAATATTTTTATAGAGTTTTTTAAGCATTCTGCATAATTGTAATTTAAACCAGGCTAACTTTAAGGATGAAAACTGGCCCAGAGGGAGGCTGTACACAGTAACTGCAATCTGATGTGAACTCGAGTGACTTTTTAAAGTAAGATCTTAAAAACTTGGGTTTCCGGTGGAGAAAGCTACCATCTGTTTAGAGTAGGAATCCTTAGAACCAGTTAATATCCACCCAACACGCTTCAATAAACTGGAACAAACATGACACTGAATTACTGGCTCCCCGTTTTCCTGAATGTAGGTCATTTTGTGTCCTTACAATTTAACGTTTGAAGGGCTTTCCTGTCTTTGAAGTATAGCAGTTTGTCACCTGTTTGGATAGCCTCCTTAAAAGTTGGGGCTCTGCTCCTACTTTGAAAGACTTAGTGACTCCATGTTCCCTGGCTCAGGTTTCCCAGCTCACTGATACCTGCAGCTGTGGAACTTTTCTTACAAGTCGGCGCCTGCAGATCCCATATTCCAGGCTTTATTCCTCTAGGTCAGAGCCCACAAGAAAAGCCCGGAGCCATACACTCAGCTAGGTGAAGCCATGAAGAGGTAAGCTTTCATAATGAGGAGCCATATGTCAAAATTCATAGCTTTTGAAAACTGGAGTAACTAGTGCTCAGGCATTAGTCTCATGCTAGTTCAAAAGACAACAGGTGCCAAATATACCATAGTGGGAGAGACCCATTGAAGTAGTCACTCACATTTAAATGTGCTTTTAACATGTGGTATTTCTTACTTAAGAATGCATACTATTTCATCACCTTTTACGATGTGGATCCTAAATATTTCTAGTAAAAAAATTCCTCACTTATTAAGAAAATGTCATGCACAAATTAATAAGAAGACAACTGTGAATTATTTTTAAGAGCTGTAAGTACAAGTGTATTTTTACCAAATAATGCAACATGTGCCAAACTTCTTTGTCAACATGAACACATACCACAAATGAAAGCTCTTTGCATGTGTATAAATGACTCTGTTTGCCTTTAGCACAACCACCCACTAATCACTGCAAAGATTCAACTTGTTCTCCTTTAAAGAGATTCACTAATTGATTGAAAGCCTGGGCACAAATAAGGCATCTTCACAGTATCCCTCCCCAAGAGAGTTTTCACCTTGATATTAAGTAAATATTTAGAAGTTAGGTTTGGGGGAGGGGGTTCTTTTCAGAGAACTGGACTCAAGTGTTCATGAAATTAAGATATTCTGATAAGTGAGGGGGAGGAAATTAAAATAGATTTCAACATCTATTTTGTTTATTTTTATTTTTTATATCAAGTGATTTTATTTTATTTTTTTATTAAGTTTCAACATCTATTTTGAAATAATAGTTTCTGTTTTGGTTTAAGGTTATGATCAAATAAGATCATGATCAAAGGGATTTAGGGCTAAATTCTGTATGTGATCCTTTCATAATGAATTGGAGTGTGATTTTGATGACTCAGCATTTTCTTTTTGTAGTTATATTAATCACTTTGACCCATCTAATTTCTCTGGAAGAAATTGTAGCCATTGTGACTGAGTCTGCCCTCCTGGGTGGCTTACTAGCTAGCAGTATAGGTATCATTTGAAAAAAAAAAATCACCTTCACAAAGCTTCCATCCAAAGGGCACACATCTTGCGTTGCTCACAAAGTTAGCAGCACTCTGTCTAGCCAAGAAGGGAGACTCAGATTCATGCATTTGTGTCAAGTTTTTAGTGATCTTCCTTGTCCCTGCTCTTGGCAACTATAAGCCAAGTATATGACATTATCAGAACAGATTCTATAGTTACCAAATGAAAATTCTTTAGTCACACACTCCTGCACCTTTTATATGAGTAAAATGTTCCAATTTTTCCTGGATTACATCACAAATGATATAAGAACAAGACAGTTGGAAACAGTACTGAACAGCTGAATATCTCTGCAAACTCGGAGCACTTAAAAACGCTTTGAAGTCACACAGCTGCTCTTTCTTTTTTTAATTGTCTTCAGTGAAACTCCAAAAACTCCATAATGTGTACCTTAAAAGCATCAGGAGTATTTTAATTAGGTAGTAACTATATTTTCCTTCTGATAAAAGGAATTAAGAATGAAATTTTATGATTATAAACTGTATTACCTACCTAAGGGACAAGAACAATTATGGAAAATATGTCCCTACATATTCGTCATGAATATGAATTTAGACTTTTAAATCATTCATCTTAAATGTTTGAGCAACTTATTAAAGTTTATAAAATAATATTCACATAATGATAACAGAGTTACTTATAATCATGATTGATATTATATCGTCAATATTGCAGCAGGCTCCTTGTCAAATAGTGAAGCTGACTTGGGCTTTGCCTATTGGGCTTATGATAAAAATAGATACACTATGAAAAAGATAAAAGATGGCAACAGATTTAGGTATTTGAGTATCTGCGATCCCTTTTTGGTCAATGATTGTTTTAAAAATGCTTTTAACACATATCCCCTCTTCCCCCTCCTGCTCCCTTTTCTTCCTCTTGTGTTTTTGTTGTCTTCCTTTCTCCTCTAATTAAAATGACAAATCATGAGAAAGAAAACTGATGTTTGAAAAACATGAGAAACTGATGAATTGGACTTTGACTACTAAATATTGGGAGTAGATCTGAGAAGGAAGGAAGGAAGGAAAGAAGGAAGGAAGGGAGGGAGGGAGGGAGAGAGGGAAAAGAAAGAAAGGAAAAGAAAAGAAAGAAAGAAAGATAAAAGAAAAGAAAGAAAGAAAAGAAAGATAAAGAAAAGAAAGAAAAAGAGAAAGAGAAAAAAGGAAGAAAGAAAGGAAAGGAAAGGAAAAAGGAAAGGAAGGAAGGAAGAAAGAAAAAGAAAGAAAGAAAGAAAGAAAGAAAGAAAGAAAGAAAGAAAGATTTATTGGGCATTAAAGAAAAGATGTCTCATAGACTGTTGGCTAAGTAAGTTGAGAACTGTAGGAGGACTCAAAGCTGGAAAAATTAATTGAGTCATTGGCATGTGGATGATAGACAAAAATGTGGGAAGGTCACCTACAAAGTATCTCAAGGAATATCACCTAGAGAAAAAAAAAGAAAGAAAAGAAAGAAAGAAAGAAAGAAAGAAAGAAAGAAAGAAAGAAAGAAAGAAAGAAGGAAAGAAAGAAGGAAAGAAAGAAAGAAAGAAAAAGAAAGAAAGAAAGAAAGAAAGAAAGAAACATTAATGTATAGCTACTGTTTGAAGACAAGTTTAGCTTACGTGACTATAAATCCTCAGCCCAATTTCAGCTGGGTCCAGGATGCGGGTCCTCTTTGAAAACAAGAGCACTGCGGGCTTTGAGTGGATGCCACCTGCCGGCCCTCAAGCTCAGTTAACTGTCATACTAAACTTTGTTAATGAATTGAAGATGACTAGGGAAATTGCCAAATTTCCACGATGTGGGCAAAAATGGGCATGCTAAATGGAGAAGTTATGTATCCGCATTTTATTTAGGCCCAGCCCTGCAGAGTCCTAACAGTTACCATTTGAACACTTACTGCATATTAGCAGAATAAAACCACTTGGAGTCTATATCGTAGTTAACTATAACTAGTTTGTTCCACTTAAGTATTGGTACTTTTTAGCAAGATTTGCCTCTGTTATTATTATATAGAATACCCCCAAATTTAACCTCTGCCCATGGGCCTGGGTTTTTGTTCTCACTTCTGTGTATGACCTGTAGCAATTTACTTAACTGGTCTGAGCCTTGGTTTCCTCATTCACAAAAGAATGGCAGTAACGCTTCTGTGCAGTGTTAGTGTATTGCGTGGCCTAATATTCATAAATCATCTGGAACACAGTTTGCAGTGAGTAAATGTTACTGGAGTTACATGGAAAAAATAAATTTTTGATCTCACAGTTTTTCATTACCTAAAATTTTAAAGATCTTTCAGAAAGAACATCTAAACGCACAGTTGTAATACTGGCATCTCGTTTATACTCAGAAATACAGCCCTGAACTCAAACTTGAGGTTTCAATGTTAGCCAACCTTCTCTCCTCCCATCACAACCTAACAAAATGTTTTTATGTAACACAAAAGAACTTCATTCTTTTTACTCCAAATGATAACTTTTACTAGAGAAGTCGGGTTAAAAACTGAGCCAAAGGCCATAAAGTCCACAATTTCCTTAAAGAAAGAAAGAAAAAAGCGAACAAGAGAAAAGGATTTACTAATTTATGCTGGAGCCTATGAGTAACATAAGAATGGCAAAGCATATGGAACTTTTTTCTAATTTGTATTTTCTAAAAATTCTTCTGGGAAGTGGTTTTTATGTGCCAAGATTCATTCCATGGTTAGTTTTATAAACTCTTAAATATAAGGACCCAGAATAGAAATGCTGACATACCTGTAACTAGAACTGTGTAATTGGCATCCCTGTCATGCTGTCACTGATAAACAAAATAAACTTAGGCTAATTGCTGCATAGTTTAGGCAACAGAGAACCTGTGATAACGTTTATATATGAACATACTAAAACAGTTTGACAAACTGTTTGATCTAGATCAGCAATGTGAAGCCCATTCATTGTTCTCTCTCAACGAGGCCTCAGTAAAACATCATCAAATCTTCACTAAAAGATAGTTTACTGCAATATACTGAGATTTTTTGAACTGGAGTCAAGAGGTACCACACTATTTTCTGTTGATCCATTCAGTGGTACTTGAGAGCTGATGGAAAGACACTGCAAGAGCACATGAATGAAGTAATTAATGAATCTGTTCATATTATTCTCAAAACAACAACAGAAAGAAATGCTATGACATCTTACTCCAGTAGTAGAGCTGTTCCTGCATATTTCACTCCTTTACTTTGGACATCAGTACTGACCATACTGAGGTTTGTGGTCATTTATAAGTCAGCCAAATTTCACTGAATTTTGGTTTTCAGGTCGTACTGGGTATTCTTGTGGTAATTGCCAAATCTGGGGCTATATTTGCCTTTAACTTGTGGATATTTTACTTTTGTTCTTTACAAGTGCCCAGCCATCTTAGAGGACTTTCCAATCATTTATTTTTCTTTTTATCATAAGTTCACTTGACTAAATTATAGTAACTCTAAAGCTTAGTTCTTCCCCTGATTTTTC